AGGAATACGGGGATGGGGCAGTGCGGCGGAGCAGGCCAGCGCTGCCAGAGCCGAGCAGCCCACATGAACGTTCCAAGGGGTGCAAGGAGCGTGCCGTCTTCCTCTTCCTGGAGCACTGGAAGAAGCGGGCGCTCGCGGCGGTGCCCGGAGAGGAGCGGCCGCGGCGGCCGGGGAGGCGACGACCGGCAGCGGGGCGGCTGCTGGCCCGCTGGAGGAGTGTCGCCCGCCGGGTCCCAGGGCGTCAGATCCGGCGGCTGAGCCGCACCACGGTGCTGTACTGGCCCCAACACTTCCTGCCCCACGTCGGCGGCTCGCCCATGCCCCACGACAGCCTCCCGCTCGACCTCTTCATGCTGGGCTATTTCCAGCTGCTGGAGATGCCCCTCAGCCCCGAGGAGCGGCGCTTCCGCCACCTCCTCTGCTACGAGATGTTTGACCGCCTGGGCAGCTACAGCTGGCACCGCGTCCGCCGTTTCCACCGCACCGTGCTGGAACAGGTCGAGGCTGGCCACCGCCACTGGCTCGACGGCTTTGAGGACCTCGTACAGGAGTTTTTTGGGGATGACCCTGTGGCAGAGGTAGAGAGCCTGCCAGAGTCCTCCACCATGGCCCCGGAAGGGCAGGGGGCAGCAGTGCCAGTGCCGGAGCTGGGAGAGTTCAGCGAGGAGGACGTCTGCCGCTTCATTGACCGCAGCTTCTCCTTCTGGAAGGAGAAGGAGGCAGAGATGTTCGACACCTGAGTCCGGCGGGATGCTGCAGCCTGTGCCAGTGGTGTGGCGTGGGGCGGTAGCAAGCTCAGGGGACAGCTGTGGGCTGGTGCCCGGGTGCGTTCGCCTGCCTCTGTGGCTCGTGGTGCAGCTCAGCTTGGCAGAGGTCTGGGTGCTGTTCTGCGCGGCCCCGGGCCGAGGTTGCAGTGTGTGCCGCTTGCCGTGGCTGTGTGTTGTGTGGGAGGTGCAGCGGCGGGGCCGCGCTCCTCTCTGGTGTGGCGTTTGCGGTGCCGGGGCAGCGTGGGCCCCCGCGTGTCATGCAATAAAGCTGTGGTGTGCTGCAAGGGCTGGCCACGCCACGCGCTCCTTCATCCTCCCGGCGCCGACGGAAGGCGGGCAGTGAGGGGCCCGTCGGCGAGCCATGTGCTGGTGAACCCCAGCAGTACCGTGCCAAGAAGGGTGGCTGCCAGAAGGATGTTATGCCGCGCACCAGGATGATGCTGCGGCCCCACGGTGCCGGCAGCGAGGGCGGGCAGTGCCGGTAACACGGCTGTCTGTTGCAGGAGAAAGAAGAGGAGGCGCGCCTGGCCAGCATGCCGGCCTGGAGGAGGGATATCCTGCGCAAGAAGCTGGAGGAAGAGAGGTGAGCCAGGGTCGGGGGATGCCGCACCAGCCGGTCACTCCCGCGGCTCTGCTAACCCCGCTCTTCCTTTTGCCTTCGCAGGGAGCAGAAACGGTGAGTGCCGCAAGCCCCTTCCCTGGGTGGGCGGGCACGGCGGCTCCCGCGGCTCTGGTGACCGCGGCGCCCTGTGCCCTCTGCTGCTAAGCAGGAAAGAGCAGGAGAAGCTGAAGCGGGAGGAGGAGGAGAAGGAGAAGGAGCAGTCGGAAAAGCTAAGGACTCTCGGGTACGATGAGACAAAGCTGGCTCCCTGGCAGCGACAGATCATCCTCAAGAAGGGGGACATAGCCAAGCACTAGCCACGCCACACCACATCCTGGCTCTTCGCAGCAGGAGGAGGCTGGCAGGTCCTGCCATGGACCGCGATATGCTTCGGCACCCTCCTCCTGCCGTGGACGGCCACATAGCCCAACCCAGAGAAGCCCCCCCCCCCACCGCCCCAGGCACCCGTA